GTTGCTGATGCCCCACTGAAGGACAAAGACTGGCCATTGTGAATTCATGTTGATGCTGCTCAGCTGAAGCATACTGACTTTTGTGGACTTCATGGTCATGAAGCCCACCTAAAAGTGAAAGAAAGTGGCCAGGGAGCCTTTCAGTAGCTACCGCCCAACCAAAAGCGAGAAAGGTAACATTCCTTGTGTCCAGGCTCACTAACTGGTGACTCATTGTTAATATTTGCAGGATTCCAAAGCTAATTTCTCATGGAATCAGCTGCATGAGTGAAGTTAGGGTTATGGGAAAGGAAGTGGTATGAGCTGATCGTGTCTTGAGAAATGGCACCTCTCCTTTTACAAATTATGCTGTACCAGTCAGATGAGATGTTATTTGGAAGATGGGCCAATAGTCTTGACTCAGTATCATATGTTCCTTACAAAGAAACATAGGAAGCTGCCTTATGGTGAGTCATTAGTCCATCTACTGTAAGTCAGGATTGTCAGCACTGACTCTTCAGACTTTCAGGTAGAGGATCTTTCCAAGCCTTACCTGGAGGTGCCAGGGATTGATCCCAAGACCTTCTGCATGCAAAGCAGCTGTTCTGCCACTGAGCTATGGCCCTTCCCCATCTCTAAATACTGTTGACAACAACAGTGTTGGTTTCCTATTCTCCCCATGGTGGTAATAATCATGTGAGAGTTAAATGAAATGTACTTTCCCTGCCAGCTATTTTCAACAAGTGAAACTGAATTATTCTAGGTTTCTTCACATAAGAGCAAAATAGACTAATTTGAAATCCAATGTCCGAGGTGTTGTCTGTCAGATGAAAAATGAAACTAATGTGACTTTTTCTAGTGAATTTCAAGGCAGAAGGTTAGGGTGCTCTAGCTTTTTAACATGACTGAATCAAACACTACAAAATGGTAGGAGGATACCTATTTACTGAAAAAGGAGAATAGAATAGAATTTACACCACAAAGACTGTTGCATGTTGCTAATTTGAATGGGTTGGGTATAGAGAAGGAGCTTTCATTTTCAGGATATGAGTATCACAAGGAAAAAGTCTTACTGTAATAACTCATCAGTACTGTTCAGTGGAGACAGGCCACAGATTCAACTGTAGACCATTGAGAGCTTGTTCAAACAGGGAGATCTGACAGGGAGAGAAGGAGGGTAAGAGGGGAAAGGGTTAGGGGAAGATGCAAAGCATAGAAGGTGCAGGGTGCAGTGGGGCCAAGGGAGTGACCCAGGAAAGGGAACCTACAATTTATGGGGTTTGATGCTGACCACAAGGCAGGAGCCAGGGCAAGGAGAGGAGGGAGAGTTAGGGCAGTCCAAAATGGAGGAAAGCACACAGGATGTGGCAGAAGAAGAGTGAGTTCAGGCAGCAAACAGGACATCTTTCTCTGCCCCGCTGTCTCCTAGAACCAGAAACCAGGAAGAGCAGTGACAACATCTGTGCAGGAGAAGTCTCAGGTTGTAGGTGTGCAGCTTGTCAGAGAAGAGCATTTAAACCAGCAGAGGGCTGTGCTCCACAGACATTGGGGGAGAGTTGCTTAGTGGCTAGAGGTGTGTGAGTGCTTGTGCATCCAGAGTACCATAGGAGTTGCTGTAAGTGCTTGTTTTGTCAATAAATACTTAACTATCAGACACATGCCTGTGTGTGTGTGTGTGTGTGTGTGTGTGTGTGTGTGTAATGTATATACATTACAGCTATAGTTCAACAATAATTCTAACATTTTGAACCTTGACTTCCTTCCCCCTCTTTCTTTGGTTCCTTATATTTATTTTCACATTCTCTGCATACTCCAAATTATCTTAACATTCTTTCAATTGTCTGTTCTCATATTTATTTTTGAAACTGCAGGTTTTAACAATAATCCTGCCAATGTCTTGATCTGTTTACAGCTTATTTGTAAATATTCAATAAACCATTTCCATTCCTTTATATATATATAAAAGTTGTGTCTTGATTTCTTATTCTTCTGCTAAGCTTCACCATTTCTGCATAGTCCATTAGTTTCAGCATCCATTCTTCTTTTGTCAGGACATCTTCTTCTTTCCATTTTTGGGTAAATAGGTTCTTGTAGCTGTAGTTGCATACAGACACACACCCTCCTTAACTGAGATGGGCCAGGACAGAAGGAGACAGAAGGAGACAGAAGGAGCCACATTCCATCTAATTCCATTCCATTTGTTTTGCAATTAAAGCAAGTTCAGATAGTAGCTTCTATGGTACGTTGCTTGAGATCCTCATAGGAAAAGTTATTGCTGACACATGTTTCCCCCCTCTTCTAAGTTACCATTGATGCTAATTAATAGTACAGTTTGTTCATGAGCAAACCCCTCCCCCATTTCAATCTCACTGTGACTCAAAAGTGCAATTAGAAATTGCTTTTGTAAATTCCCAACTTCCCCTTTCAGTGAATCTAATGAAGTGGTGATTAATATTCCACAGGGCTAGGCGGAAATAAGCTTCAAGGTAATTTAAAAGAGTTGTAAGGGAAGAGGACGGTGTCAGTCAATTACCAACATTGCCACAATAGACTTTAACTGTGCATAGCATAGTTGAGAAGCAAGTTGATCATTGGTCCATTCTGAAGTACTTTGGGCTATTGTTGTCTTTACATGCATAGCTTTGATGAATAAAGTCAGTGAGGGTGGGCATAGTTTGGGGAAATGGCCTGGCAGGATAAGATGGGCCCATGGAACAGAGAGCCTCATCCTGTAGTGTAGACTATACTGAGCTAGATAGACCAATGGCTTAATTCAGTATAAGCCAGCTTCCTATATTCTTGTATTTTTGTTCTTAAAAGAAAGGATGAAGTCTCATGCCATCTTGCATTTGAAGTAAAGCAAAAATTCTTCAAATTTGATGACTCCTGATGATTAATCCAATATTTGTTGTATGAAAAATAGTGTGATGAATGGTCTCGGCCAGCACTACTATGAGTTCAGATGATGTAAACTTAAGTAAAGGTAAAGGGACCCCTGACCTTTAGGTCCAGTCGTGACCGACTCTGGGGTTGCAGCGCTCATCACGCTTAATTGGCCGAGGGAGCCGGTGTACAGCTTCCGGGTCATGTGGCAAGCATGACTGAGCTGCTTCTGGTGCGCCAGAGCAGCGCACGGAAACGCCGTTTACCTTCCCGCTGGAGCGGTACCTATTTATCTACTTGCACTTTGAGGTGCTTTCGAACTGCTAGGTTGGCAGGAGCAGGGACCGAGCAACGGGAGCTCACCCTGTCGCGGGGATTTGAACCGCCGACCTTCTGATCGGCAAGTCCTAGGCTCCGTGGTTTAACCCACAGCGCCACCCGCGTCCCGATGTAACCTTAGCTGGATATTAAACCATGTATGGAAATTGGATGTTACGTAGCAAAGCGCAAATTAGTCTTCTTTCCATTCCATATCACTTTTGTATGCATTCACTTATAAGCTGATTCAGTTTCCACAATAATATGCTTTTAAAAAAGAGAGAGAGAGATCTGCATGAAGATTTGCACTCAAATGTCTATTTGTGGTCTCTCTCAAAATTGCATATCTAAACAGATCTCTCTCTCTGAAAATATGTACTTGTGACTTACATTCTGATACATATTTGATCTGAAAACTGGAAGTGCTAAAGCCAGGGATAGTATGGATCAGGTCAGTTTGTATTGGAATTCACAAAGCTTAAAATTCCACAAGCATCCCTACTGCCATGTCCATGGCTCACCTTTCTGGTCCAGCTGTCAGAGCTATGGTTCATGATGTAGCCCTCTTCAAAGAAGCAATAATTGTGCCCATCTGCTATTCAGGAGAGGCACGCAGGCTGGATTGACTCTGTGTTTTTCTTTTGTTTAATTAGTGTATTTAATTTGGGGGGTTGTCAAATAATTAAATCATGTTGGTTGATCAATCACCTGACTCTAACTCAGTAATTTATTAATTAATCAATTAAACTCACATGTTAAAAACTTGCATATTTATAAAGCCACAATTTGGTGCAACTTTCAGATTCTGGATACAGTATATACGGAGCAATCCCAAGCCTTCAGAACTGCTAGCTGGAGGGAGATAGGATTGAATAGGTTGCCTCTCCACCAACCACGAAGTGCCCTACTGGCGGGGAGACCCTGTCCACCACAGAAGGTCCCACAATGCTTACAGAAAACTCCACCAGTAGTGATGGTGATGTTTCTGTCGGTGGTAGCTGTCATTTGGCCCTGAAATGATGAAATCCACTCCCTCAAGAAGTAGTGATGTCCACCAACTTAGATGTCCTTAAAAGAGGATTAGACAAAATCATGGAGGGCAAGGCCATCAACGCCTCCTGGCCATGATGCCTATGTTCCCCGTCCAGTATAAGAGGTATTATATAACCATTAGGGCTAGGAGCTATGAGGTCTATGCTGCTGCAATTTACCACAATGCCCCACCACAAAAGCATATGTTGCAAAGGATAGATGGTTGTGTCGAAACATATGCTGGATTGGATATCGGCTAGAGCTGCAGCCAACCCATATGGTGGCCCCATATATTGAGAAAAGTATGCACACCTCTCAGACTTTATATGTTTGCTGTGGGAACATTTAGAGCATCACTGCTGTGGCTGCAGAAAATGTGGTCATCATGGCAAGATGGGAGATATCAAATGACTTGTTGTATGGACCACCCACCCCACAGAGGGCAGTCCACAAGGAGGCTATGGGGTGATTCATATATTACTGGAATGGCATGGGGGCTACATTTGCTTATCTGAATCAAGAAGTCAAGAAGTCTTCTTCTGAGTCAAGAAGAACAGTGTGGTTCAAATGAACTTCTCTGGGTAATACATTTCTGAGCTCTGATTCAAATTGAGCCCTTTAGCTGTGTAAAGTCATCCATTAGGGTGGAAATATTGGGCCTCTGGAGTTTACACACACACACACACACACACACACACACACACACACACAATTTAGAGTTAATGGGAATTTTTTTCATTGGAGGTTTTGTTGCATATCAATTTCACTTTATGCTTTAAAGCGTGTACATAGCAACTAGCAAGGTTGATGTTCGCCTTCTAGCTCTCATCTCTGGCATTCGATTTGACTTTTCTGAAGTACAGCCATTGCCCAAGGTGTCGCCGCCTCCTTGCTGCAGCAATATTTCCCCACAGCTGGTCCAACAGGCTGGAATCAAGCAAACGAATGTGGCATCACTATTGAACCATTAGCAGAGGAAGCTGTGTTTTCTTGGCAAAATTGTACAAGGGGTGAAAATGGGTGAGTAGTTCCCTTAAATGATGTGGCACTGTGAAGCTGTTTTATTATAGGGAGAACAGTCTCTAATATTTTCCCTGCGGCAGGTGTCTGCAGTGATTTAGAAAGCTGTTAGACCCCAAGAAGTGTTGCCAAGTTTAATTTTTAGAGTGCTGTGCTTGTTAACTAGGTAAAAAGTGCGCCGCTGTGGCAGTGCTGAGGGAGTGGGGCAAAGAAACTTAAGTGTCACCTGGGAACATAAAAATGTTCATTGATGCAGTGAAGGGTGGGGAGAAACAAAGGCAGAAAATGCTAACGATATTGTAGAATAAATAGATTAGAGTCAACAGTGAAAATGGAAGGGACAAGCTCATGAAAAATTCATGGGGCGGTTGCCAAGGGATTGATGGGTTATTTATGATGAAAACCTTTGTTATTTTAACATGAATTGCAGGTCATTACTACTGCTAAAAGCAACTAATGTGTGTGCTCTCCTTAAAACATTGTGGGGAGGGAGTTGGCGAGGAAACCTGTTCCTTAAAAACACACAAAAAATCTTATACTCTTAACACACACCTTTGCATTTAATCACATTTAAGGGGTTTTTTGATGTTTGCTGCAATAGACTAACACAACATCAGGAAGCAGGGTTATCAGTGTGCAGCCACACCAAAGGAGGATATGAGAAAACTGTTTAAATGACAATGGATGTGATGTAAGTAAAGGCATTACTACCACACATTATTTGTGTGTGTGTGTGTGTGTGTGTGTGTGTGTGTGTGGACAGAGGCTGTGAGGAGATCTGGGTTAGTTCCAATTGCAAAGTTGTGGCATCATTCTCCACACTCACAACATGACACTCTCTCTCTCTCTCTCTCTCTCTCTCTCTCTCTCTCCACACACACACACACACACACACACACACACAAAGAGAGAGAGAGAGAGCACTTTCTACTCAGTCAGCTCATTGGTTTCCTCCTGACCTGGTGGGCAGACTGCAACCAGATTCTGATTTTGAGGGGGCTGCCCAGTTACACTCAAAGTATCCTCTGCCTGTTGGCCTGTGTATTCCTCTTGTATTCCTCTTTCTGAATCTATGCTCCAGCTCCTCTGGACTCCTGACTTGGCATTTTTATTGATCCTCTTAAGGATTAGGCAGCAGCAAAGAATAGCTAGTACAGTATTAAAACAGCGGACTGAAGAAATATAATGTGTGACATTATTTTGTCTGCTTACTCAGAAATTGCTGTGTTGGCCCCAGTGACTTGTTTTCCAACTGTATATTTAAATGGTTGTTTTTTGGTTTGTTTTTTAAAGTTACAAGATTATCTTGATACATGGCTGCCAGAAGTTTTCATTCTTTTCTTACTGATGCAAAAAGTTTCTGAATTGCCGATGATTCGCCAAGTGAAAGGTGGCAACCCTATAGCTAGGGATGCTTATTTATGTTAAATAATTACATCTCTCAATCAAATGATCTCTAAGGTAGCTTGCAACTTATTATTAAAATACAAGAATAAAATGCAATTAAACACAGTAGTGGAGCAGCTAAGAGATACTGTGATGTGTGTGTGTGTGTGTGTGTTTGTCTGTGTGTGTGTGTGTGTGTGTGTGAGAGAGAGAGAGAGAGAGAGAGAGAGAGAGAGAGAGAGAGGTGTTAATCTAAGGTTACCAGATCTTTTTCAATGAATCCGGGGACACTTTTCAACTTCAATGGATTTTGTATGGGGGCTGATTTGTAAATCCGGGGACTGTACCCCGGGAAACAGAGATGTCTGGTAACCTTATGTTAATCTTCCCTCTTGCCACTGCTCCTGCTGCTGCCTTTGTAGGACACCTGTGGGTATCAGTTGAGGGTGCTGTAGACTTGCCTCCTTTCTGAAGCCATCTATGCCTTTATTTGAGTGAACTTCATGGAGGAAGGTTTCACAGCAAAGTTGAAAGAGCTGTTCTTTGATGTATTCATCACTAAATTGCAACGCTCAAAATCTTTGCAAAAACTACCATCGTTTGGAGGCTTGGAGCCACTGCTCCCTGGTTACAGTTTTGAAATATACAGTACAGTTTCTGTATTTCCTATTGAGCAAAATCGATCCCCCCGCAAATCATGCCTTGCATCAGTCAGCCCCGAGTGGTTTCTCTGTCTTTCCCTCTGTCTGACAGATAAAACCTGTATGAGATTTTGTGGTATTCAAACATATATTTTGTGCTAAATAGTCGTTGGATGTTAATTGCAAGGGGGGAAAATAGCCTTCCTGGGTAGATTTCACATCTGTTTGCCATATGCAAAATTTAATAATGCAAGCCAACCAACACATGCTAAGGTGTCTTCTTTTTTAAAACACATTGTTATTTGGCAGGTAGGTTGTTTTCAGGTAGGTAAATGATAGAGCAAGAAGCCAAGGGAAGAAAAAGGAAGTGCTAATGATCAAGGGTGTGTGAGGAATGGCTCAGAAGACAGGGATTTAAAAAGTAAAATAAAACCCCCTTCAAATGAATATAGGCACCCCCAATTCAGCTCAGAAGATCCATCCACAGAGTTTTCACTCACTGAATGTTACATTTCAATAACTCTGGGAGTGCACATCTCCACTAGATAGTTTACAGATTGTACTCTCATTGAATTTAACATGTGGATGCCCCTACTACGTATGAAAACGAGATGATGGTGAACATGTCTCAGGGTCAAAAGGAACTTGGGAAAAGGTCCAGAAGAGTTGACAGAATCCTGGGAACATGAACTTTCTCCTGGTTTTTCTGTGTACATTAGCATTCAAGGGAGAGCAGCAGTAGGGATAGGTGGAGAAATTCAGTTCTCATTTAAAGGTGAATCTGTTTAATTCAAACTTTACAAGACAATACACAAACTGAAAGACACAATTCGCACATCTCCAAATTTGCAGTGTGGTTCTCCAGCCACATCCTGTGTTCAGAAATGCTTATATTTGGGGAAAGAGTGCGTTGAAATGCACATCTTAGTGAAAATAACATGCAAAAATGCATTCTATTAATGAACATTAATTTGCAAAAACATGCATACTAGGGGAAATAGCATACAAAAATGTGTACATTAGGAGAACTTTGATCTGCAATGCTGAGGGATTTCATCATTTTCATTTTCAAATTGAGGTGGAGAACAAGAAGACAGGGGAAAATGAGAAAGTAAAGTGGACAGATTTGGGACAGCAGTGACCAGTGCTAGCACTGCCCCTGCCCCAGTTCACCTTCCACAGTTGGAGGGCAATTGCGTGGCCAGGCACCCCCCCTACTCTTCAATCCATCCCAATACCAAGACAAAGAGACTTGACAACCAATATTTGGGTGAAATCAAGCCGCAACTTTATTGACAACAAATGCAATATATAAAGGGTGGGAGTGTGGGAGGTCCAACAAAAAAATTGGTTGCAGAGCAAGCCACATGCCTATGTATGTTTAATATGTGTAGGCAAAGCATTGATGCCTAATTTGATTGATAGAATACCTGGCCTCTAGTGGGCGGGGCTTTTATGCTGTACTCTAGAATTGGCCCCTCCTTTCAGTTTGTCAGTTAAGAGGCTATCTGTCACTTGCCTCGAGTTGTTCTGTTTCTCTCTGTCAGTATGTAACCATGTTACATTTTTCTACTATTAAAGCTTTGTTTCAAAGATATATGTGAACTGCTTACTTCACTGGATGAGAAGACAAACTCTGCTAAAGAAGGAGAAGGTAGAATATCTTACACTTGGTGAGTGAGGAGATATTTCCCTGACAGGAGGACTGATTTTTAGTCACCCCCTCCACAACAATATATACAGTATATGTAATTTACTGGAAAGATGAGCTAAGCACACACACACACACACACACGGTGGCCCATTCTTGTTCGTGATTCGCTGATTAGCCGATTATCCAGACAGCAAGCTCAGCCCAAAGCTTCTTTTGCTGCTTGGGAAACAGTCCCTGGGACTTCCCATGTCAGATCACGGCGCATGGGATAATGCTAGCCCGCAATCACACGCACCAGAGAAGGTGAGTGAACTTGTGTGAAGTGGGGAGTCTTCTATACTTGAGGAGACCTCCCTCACATTTCAGAGCCCTGAAAGACTCCCCACATCACACCATCTTGTTCCAACTTCTACAGAGCAACAGAAACAACAGTGTGAAGGGCAAAGCTGATGTAGTTACTGTGCTCCATTACAGAATGGCTGAGGAAGCATTTTGGGTGATGAAACATGGGATGAGGAAAAGGTATTGTTGAAGCAGTTTGCCCTCACACTATTCCATCCACCCCCTGCCTCTTCCAAGGTCCTCTTGATTTCATTTCTCCCAGAGAAGAAATTTGAGCCCAGAACTTTTACAAGATCCGTAGTGCCATAAATTCTCCCCTTGCTGGGGTCATTGTATAACCAAATGGCATAAATCCTTCACACCTTCCGTATAATTTTGTGGGAATTTCTGAGTCAGTGAGATTTCATGTTTATGTTTTAATTCATTTTATGTTGCCGTTTCCTTTTTACACGCTTGTATGCTGTTATAAAAGTGATTTAAAGAAATTGGCTGAATAAAGTGAAAGATAAAAAGAATCAAGCATTAGAAAACAAACAAACAGGAAGAAGCAAAGGTGAGTGGAAGAGATGCTGGCCCAGTACTGAATGCGAATGAATCATTTCTACAATGGAGGCAATATTCTGAAGGACTGCACAATGTGACATTAGAGAATTACTCTAACAAGAGTATCCCTCCTACTCCAATTGATCTTTCCATCAATTGCTGTTCATTTGCTATGGATGAATTCACTAAGGTGGACAAGCAAAGCTAAGAAAAAGCACCTGGCATAGATCCCTGAATGACTGCTGAAGTGCTTTTTGGCAGAAGGTATGAAACCAATTGGCAAACATAATTTGCTTGGGTGGTTTCTTCATGGAAGGATGGAAAGGGCAGGCACTGAATTAAATTCATCCTTAACAAAAATCCACTGGAGGACCTCCGGGTAGATATGGAGGAGTTAGGATCAGTCACATTTATATACCTAAATAATACTTTCTGAAACAATACGTACACAAAGGACAGCTATCCATCAAAATGCACATTTCTTCAAATTTTGCAATACAATTCTCCAGCCAAGCAATGTGTAAAAGAAAAAAGGCACATGCTAGGCTTAAGGTGTATAAAAATGTATATATCGGTTAAAACAAACAAACATTGATATGCATTATATTAGGGAAAGTCCTTGCAAGGCATATTAGGCAAAATCACATACAAACATGAATATGAGGATGATGAATTTTCATGCAGATGTAATTCCTCCCTCCCCCCCAAACTGATGTGGAAATGTGGAGAACCAAACTTAAGGTTGCAAAAATGGAAAACCAAAACTTAGAGATTTCTTTACCCCTACAGGTGGAAGATTGATCCGAGTGAAAGGGGCCTTCCTCTCATGCCCTCACGATTTCTCTAAGCCAGTCCGTCACCCATCTCTTGCCTCTGTATTTGACTCAGTCCTCCACCAATCATCAGATGGGATGCTGTCCACTTGCCAACTTCCATTTCCCCAGCGGAGGCATCATCTCAGCAAACTGTGCAAGCCAAAGGAGAGAGATGGATAAGCTCCTTACACCCCTCTCCTGGAACATTGCTTCTTGCGTTTATAACTTATTAAAAAGCGTTGACTTTTTTATTATTAGAAATCCTCTCCAGCAAAAACTGGGGCAGTTTAATATAACCTCTAAGCCTGCCAAAGCCACATGCAATAAGTAAAAAGCAAGTTATCCCCGGATCTCCAGCTTGCTCACTTTACTTGCACTGATTACTTATTAAGTATTCATAGTGAGCTTGGCACTTGAAAGCTGGGGAAAGACAACACAACTCTTGCTTCCCCTAATACAATTTCATCATCCAAAGAGACAAGAAACCCAAACTGTACTGCACAACCCTGAGGAGGACTGTAACCGGGCAGAATTTCATAAATATCACTCTTCTCTTGACTGTTATGGCAACCACATGTCTAGGGTTCTACACTGAGAAGGGAGCCTCCATGAGAAGAAGCAGGCTCCCTGCTTCAAATAACCACCCAGGGTAAGGAGAATAGCGGGCAGAGCTAGCACACTCAATTCTATCCATCCCCACCATACACTATACTCCATTTCCAGAACATGTAAACAAAGACTATGAAAGCATCAGAGATGGATTTAGGGCATTGTAAAAGGTCCGCTCACCTTCCCCAGTGGGCGGTGTTGGGGTGGGGCATCCGGGACTTCCCAATGACTCAGCGGGCAGAGGTATGCCAGCCATGTCATAGGAATTCCTGGCTGTGTCATGCCCCTGGCTGACTAATCGGTGCACCTGGGTGTGTGGCCACTTGCTGTCTAAAGTGTGGCGTGGCTGGGGGGCACCCTCCTTTCGCCTCCTCACTAGATCTCCCAGCCCACCCTCCCTCTTTTTATGTGTTGCTATGATTTTGGCCTTGCTATGGACTAAAGTCAGCTACCATATTGTTGGGGCCAGGCAGGAATTTTTCCACTTGGCAAATAGGCACCAGCCATTTAGTTTTCACCTACCTTGTAGCAATTGTCACAACTTTGTAAGGTTAGGCATTGGGTAAGCCTTTGTTTATGGGAGGGGAGGTTGTAGCCTCCGCCTGCCCCTCCTCAATAAGGGTATCCTGTTAATGGGATCTGGGGGTGTGGATCCTGTCTGAAGCCTGGGCATGGGCTAGGACCATGCCATGACCCCATTGGGGACCCTGGGGGTGCCCCAATTTGACTTATTTCATAGGGCTCCCCCTACCCTTAGTGAGACTCCCTGCAGACGGGCAGGAGTCAGGATATAGTCTGGTTTCACCCAATGCCTAAGCCAAACCGCTCACATCTGTAACCAATAAAGTTGTGGCCTATTTTATCCCATTGACCTAATATATTCGTGTCCATGTGTTTATTATCTAAGGCAACTGCGGGGCCCAGGGCTTCATCACACAAGTTCCACTGCACTGAGCGTCAAGCCTAGGGAGTGTCACAGGGCTTCATCACAGCAATGATATAGTGACTTGAGCAAAACAGAAGATGACAAGTTGGGGGCACCAAATTTTGGCCTTGCACAGGGTGCCACTGAGATCTGAAAGACCAAAGTCTACCCCTAGAGGCATGCGAGAGAGAAGACAAAGAGCAGGCAGATGAAAGCAACCTGAGGGGTCATTGTAGGACTTGCCATAAGAGTGCAGTTGAGAATTAGGACAACTGTGTGGTGAGAGAGGTTTATGAGACCTATGGCAGACAGGGACGAAAGAGTGGGGTTGGGCAATGTGATTGTGGAGAGCATGGGGTCAGGAGTTACGAGGCCTTCACTTAGAGCGTGGTGCTGATAACACCAAGGTGGCAGGTTTGATCCCCATATAGGACAGGTGCAGACCCAGAATTGCAGGGGGTTGGGCAAGATGATCCTCAGGGTGCCTTGCAACTCAACAATTCTATGATTATATGTGCTTGGAATTATGCTACATATTTTTGAAGGAGTCAAAATACACACGTCAGCATTTACATCCGCCACACAGGACAGCGTGCAGAAAAATACTGGATATTCCAAGCTTCCTTTTCTGTGGCCTGTTGGCCATGTGGAAAATGTTAGGCATGCTTGTACTTAGCCTTCATACAGTCCCTGTGAAAATCACACTGTGCTGTTCGGATTGCAATGCATCTAGATGTTGAACATTTCTCATCAAGCCCTAGAAACCGTTTGCATTGCTTGCCAAAGGGTATTGTGGTCGGAGAGTGAAATGTACTATTTCACACTCCCTTGAGCAGTGGGAGGTCCCTGGGCAACTTTAAATAGTCAGCTTCCTTTCTACCAAGGACTTGTGGGTGTTCTGTAATATTATGCTTGCAGATGGAGAGAAGGCAATATGCAAAGAAGCACACGTCTTGTGCCCCGGATGCAAAGTAATGTCACTTTCAAAGCAACATTAGCTGTGGAAGCCCTCTAGCCTTCGCCAGCAAGCTCTAAACAAATAAAATAAAATCCCTTTAGAGCTGCTTCTCTCTCTCTGATCTTGTGCACCCCATAACTTTTGTCTACATCAATGCATGACAGCCATTCACTCCCTTAGGATACAGTAAAGGACAGGATTTTGAAATACCGTTGTGGTGGAGGCAAGTTCTTCGTCCCTGTGGCGTTTGCCCGTTCTTTTGAAAATGTCTGTACAGGGAGAGAGAAAGGGTTAATAGGCAGACCAATAGAAAAGACAGAGGTGGAGCCTACCTGTTTATAAAAGAGCTTAGCCCAAGGTTTGAGTTAGCTAGTTAGTGGGTAGTTTGTTGGTTTTGGTTGGTTGGTTGGTTGGTTGGTTGGTTGGTTGGTTGGTTGGGAAAGGCAGTTGGGAAAGCAGTTGGCAGACAGTTGGAAACAGAGAGACAGTTAGTGCAGTGGGTTCTTGTGTGAGGGGAGGTAGAAGAGTTAGAGACAGGATAAAATAAGACTAAGAAGGTAAAGAGTAACAACGTTTTGAATGCAGTTAAAGTTTATTTGTATTTGCAATAAACTACACTCTTCTTTGTTAACTTAAGAACCTGACTGAGACTAAGTGATTTACCAGGGAGGACCTGGTTGGTGGCAGCGGATTAGTGGTGTACGGGTCAATAGTCTGTGAGACGACCGGGAGCTCCGTACGAACGACACAGTCCCCTTCTCTGAAAATGGCCTGCCTGTAACTGAGTTGTCATACAATTCATATCAAGGGACAATGCCGGTGAACTGGAAGGTTCTTTCCGAGGTATAAGATCTGAGGAATTATCAGTAGCATTTCATTATTATTATTATTATTATATTATTATTATTATTATTATTTATTATTATTATTTATTATTATTATTATTATTATTATTATTATTATTATTATTATTTATTATTATTATTATTATTATTATTATTATTTTGTTTATGATTTTCAGTTGCATACATTTCAATAGTTTTACAATCATTCTAACATTTCAAAACTCGACTTCCTTCCTCCTCTTTCTGTGGTTCCTTCAAATTTTTTTTACATTTCCTGCATATTCTAAATTACCTTAACTTATTCTTTTATTCATCTACTTTAAATATATTCTCTTATAAAACTGCGGGTTATTACAATAATCCTGCCAATGTCCTTATCTGTTTACAATTTGTTTGAAAATATTCAGTAAACCATTTCCATTATCAGCAGTGTTTCAATAAGGCTGGTGAAATTCCTCTGGGTGATTCCTCTCTCCCTAGTGGTTTTGCTGAGCCATTAGAGACTCAAGTGTATTCTTACCTCCATGACTGGACAAGGGGACATGGACATGCCTTGTGGGGAAAGTCGTGAGGGGTTTGGAAATGCTGCTAAGAGTGAACTGGGGTCAGGGTGCAATGTCAGGACCCCATGCAGCCCTGCAGGCCCTGTGCAGCCCCAGTGGTGAGACCCTATGGTGAGAGTTGCAGTGAAGACAGCCAATGAGATGCTATCTTTGGGCTTGCAGGTAAATGAGAGCAGTGAAGGGGTGGGATGTGGGAGCATGATTCTCCTCTATGTTACTCGTGCTCTCATTAGTTCTGCAACCCCAAGGCTGGTGTCTTAGTTGGCTAAGCTCGTTGTCACTCTTGCCTTGGGGCCAGAACTGGTAAAAGTTGAAATAATGGGTAGCTGAGACTATCGAGGATCTGGTGTGCACTGCCAATAAACCTTGTCCTTGGTTGTTTGCCACTCACCAGGATAGCCAGCCACAGAGGGAGGGAGAGTGAAGAGCAGTAATGATGGCACTGATTCCTCCCGAAGGTTAAGGAAAGGTAGGGTAGGAGAGGAATGGAGGACATCCAAGGCATTTGGGTAGAAGCAGAAGTTTGGTCATAAGAGTAAGCATTTGGGAGATTTCACACATTCCTTATTGGGATGTAATTGGCATGGTGCTGCAACATGCCTGACTTTTTGGAGACATGAAGTGCGATCCTATGTATGGTTGCAGGGCCAGCTAAAGACATTTTGACACCTGAGGTGGACCGCAAAATGGTGCCCTCTCTCTGCCAGCAAAGAAGGTGTGAGGGAAGACCTACCTCAGGAACAAGGGGGGAAAGAAAGATCAACATCAGGATCTGATCTACTGCTAATCATCCAGAGATCCCTCAGTAGATCCCAAACCACCCAGATGTAGATATTCAGCCTACTACTTATTTATTCGAGCCTTGCTTCTAACATTGAGTTGTGAGGGGCTGATCAGTTGGGTGTGACAGACAAGATTACTGCCTCGTTGAGAGATTGAGCTATTCTGGCCTCTTTGAAGGACATATTTGTGTGACCACTGCTAAAGAAACACTCTCTGGACCACCCTTCCCTAGCTTGGTGACCTTCAAGTGTTTTGGACTGCAATGTCCATCAGCCCCAGCTAGCACAGAGATTATGGGAGCTACAGCACAGGGCATCTGGAGGGCACCAGGATGAGGAAGAGAGGTGTAGATCTTGTGGAGTTGTAACCTTGCTCCCTGGCATGCTCTGCTTCTTTGTGTACGAATTATTTTGTTTGTTTGTTTTGAGTGTGGACCTCAGTCACAGGACCTCATGCATGCAGTCTAAGGTAATACAACCCAGGCACATGTTTACAACCTTGCTGGGAATGAGGCTTCTGTCTCTTCTTTTGATGGGTTTCCTGAGCATATAGAATTTCAGAAGCAGAGAGAGTTCAAACATGGTGTGTTACTTTGATTTTAATGCCTTGTTTGATGTCTTTAAGCTTCCAGATGTTATGGGTTGTTGCTGAATCTTGTATAAGGGAAAATATTTCCCGGTGGACTTTGTCAGTTCTCTCATAGTCTGTGTTCAGCTCAGTGCGGGGAGGGAGGGAAGAGGAATTCTATCCATTTTTTCCTGTTATATAAATTACTCCTTATTGACCTCATGAACAACTGCAGTATGACTATAAACCAAACAGGGCAAACTGGATAGGTGAGAGTGGAGCAGAAACAATTATTTTTGCATGAAAGTTCTCGTTGGGGTTGTACTGATAATATTAATGTTCTGCCTATCTCCCACGTATGCAGATTTGCAAATCGTGACTTTAGGTCGGAAATGAAATCCCTCCTCTTGCTTTCTTGTCTTCTAGTTTTTGCAATGTGCTGCTTCTCCTGTTCCTCGTTTTAGATTGTTATCTTCTGTGTGTGCATAATTTGTTAAATAACTGTAATCCGCAATGAAAGCCTACATTTCCTCTCTCTGTATGTTTGCCATTGCAAATCAGCACAGGACTAAACTAGTTGTTATGCTGAGTGCAAAGCTGACCCCTACAAAACAGAAGCTGTAGGTCTGGCTCAGCAACATCTAGGTCAGGGCTTGGGGGCCTTTTTCAGACCGAAGGTCTCTTGGCCTTGCTAAATCACTATCCCCATCACTAAATCATTGCCTTCCTGGACAGGCTTTGGGAAGGCTTTTTAGACATTATATATATGGACCAGACTTGCAATTCTTTAGATTTCAACTCCTCACCCCAAATCTTAAAAAGTTAATGCAATGGTGGAGGATTAGGACAGTGAGCTTTTGTCAGCGGGTTCACTTCTGGTGAGTTCACTTCCCAGACTTTGATATCAGTCCTGAATTCTCACCCTAGATATACCACTATCTTCCCCCCACTCTCTTTCCCCCCACTCCATCTGGCCTAACATTGCAGAGTTGCTGTTAAGTATTAGTAAGCAGGTGGAAGCGAAGAGTTCTTAGCAAAAAAATGTGACACAAGGATTTTGATTCTGCAAACCTCTCACCTGAGCAAAAGACTGTGGTGAACAAAACTAAGAATACATAGGTTGGGCATCATCTATGGTATGGATGGTGAAGTTGTGGACTGCATATGCTTTGAGATTCCAGCTCTCACACTCCCATCTGGCACGGCTAGTGGAGGAGGAGAGGAGGAGTTTTGGATTTGATATCCTGCTTTATCACTACCCTAAGGAGTCTCAAAGTGGCTAACAATCTCCTTTCCCTTCCTCCCCCACAACAAACACTGTGAGGTGAGTGAGGCTGAGAGACTTCAGAGGAGTGTGACTAGCCCAAGGTCACCCAGCAGCTGCATGTGGAGAAGCGGGGAAGTGAACCCAGTTCACCAGATTATGAGTGCACCACTCTTAACCACTACACCACGCTGGCTCTCCTAGTGCTCAGGGATGGGGGGAATTGTAGTCATACAAAATCCAGAGAATTTCATGGTCCCAGTCTCTGACCTAAGAGGATGTTGAAGTGTAGGAATGAAAAAGAATCAGAGTTGTTCTTGCTGGATCACGTCCAGCTTCCCAGTTTTGTTTACCATTTTGAAAAACCAATTAGTTAATAGCTATCCTAGAAGATGACAGCTGAATGTTCATGTTGGAATCATAAATCAGCCTGAATTCTTTCTAGGATTATGCTTTTCGCATGTAAACCACCTTGGGATTTTTCATGACAGATGACATAAATGGTAACAAATAAACAAATAAACAAAGACACGCATCACAATTGAAACACTGGAATAACAGAATCCATCATGCTGTTGTTTTACGCAAGGATCCTCAAATGCAAAATCAAAGCTGGAAAATATTTCCTTTCATGTGCCACTAGAAACTATCAAAAGCTTGTCTGCAGCAGCAGCTAAATTATACGCGGCAAAGAATTGGAAATCTCTAGATATCCCACCAGTTCGATCCATAATGAATGAGATCTGTCAGTCAAGCAAAAATTAACTGAATAACTCCCAAAATGAAAGAAACCCCCCGCAATTGCATTTTTTAGATATATTGAGCCCACATAGAAAACAAGCTTTCTGGGAGCACACTAGAATCATGCAAATGTGTGTGTATATTGTAAGGTAAGATTAGAAAGAGTGAGAAGTAAACATCTTTGACAGAACCAAGTTCGTATTGTGTTTGCTGAGTTTAAGGAAGGGAGGGAAGTCATTGATCAGCATTGGCCATTCATTAGCAAAGCGAATGCAAAGAGGTGTGTACCACTTGCCATACTGAGTCTATAAACTTTACAAAATAGTCCCTATTTCCCCAACATTGGCAGAAAATTGGTCAAATCAACCTAACTTGTTTAGAAGTAGCTTAGAACTTTGCAAAGTTCAAACCAACTCGGAACAACATACAAATTACTTATTAGATAACAGAGCATGCTTGTAGCATTGATGTTTCCAGGTCATCTCAAAGGTCAATTTGTCTTTAACTAATTCAAACATTATTGATTCAGGATAACATCAGTTATCCTACATCATTTTTTTGGGTGGGGGTGGGAAAATCATAGTCGATAGCAAACTTCTATTCATACTGCATTAGAAAATTTGACCATCCCCCCAATTATGTAGTGTATTTCAAGATCT